GGCAAAACAATTCAGCAATTGTCTAAAATGCTGAGGGGAAGTGAACTGTGATCTATAGCCATACATCCTCCAGGTGGGAAAGAAGAGAAAACCCCTGAACGTTTTGTTAAAGGTTGAATTACCAAGTTAGAGGGAGGAAGCAAATGCAGCTGCTGGGGCAGATTTGAATTTCAGTGTAGTATTCCAGTATCATGCAATTTTCGTCAAAACCAAGAATTCTCAAAGAACGTGAGAGAACATGAGAAGCCAAGACAGGCAATGAGAGGGTGGAGTAGGGAACCTAAGGAGGCTGTGTCAGGTGAGGCCGGAGAACCCCACTGGCCCCAACCAAGCCTGGGGACCTGCTCCCCTGCTGAGAGGAGCTCCCTCCTCACTGGGACGCAGGAGGAGACATGCCTCAGATGAATTCTGCCTAACAGTGAGCTCTCTCACTGCCCTCAGCCACCTTCACTAAAACAAAGCTGAGCTCCAGAGTCTCCGGAGGGAACTGCCTATCATCCAGGAAGTGGCCTGGCCACCCTTGCCAGAGGTGGCTGGCTTCTCAGTTTTTCCAGGAGTGTTGATGGTGACAGGATGATCTCGGCACATTCTTTGGCTGGGTCCCCAACTGCAGCCAAGGGCACGCCCTTCAAGGTGGCTGCGCAAGGACTGCAGTCAGAGCCATACCTGATCTACTCCAGAGGCACCCCACTGCTGGGTCCCCTGAGCACCAGGCCTCCATGCAACCCCCAAAGGTGTGGCTTGCCCAAAGTAACACAAGTTAGCAGCACAGGCCCGACTAGAACCCAGGCCTCCCAACCACAACCACCAATCTGCAGCCCTTTCCACCACACTTCTTTGGAAGTGGTGTAGCAGAGGGATTCAAACCATGAGTGGGGCCAGACATTTTGGCAGATAGTTCAGCTGACACTGTGATGAAGTCTGTGAACCCAGAGAAAGGAGGCTCTCTGACCTGGCAGGGGCAGCTTCTTAACAGCACAGAAGGGAAAAAAACAAAAGCAAGTTTATACTTATAGGGAAACACAATCTGTGATTATAAATATTTTATGAGCAAAGAAAGCAGTACTGGCTGAGAGACTGGGGTGTGGAGGGTGGACAGCAAATTAGATCCCAGTTTGCAAAGTGATAGGGCAGCTGGAAAAGCAGTAACGCCGAGGCTATTCTGGGCTGTGTGCTGCGAGAGCCTGCGTCACAAATGGAGTGTGGGCTCTGGCCAGTGGCTTTGTGGAAACCATAGCCGTCCAGCGGTCAGCAAGAACACCTTGGGAGGAGTGGTGAGCCCACGGAAGACCAGAAGAGGGGGCAGCAAGGACAGTCACTTGAATGACTTGGATAAACCTGAGCACGTGAAAGGCGGGTGAAGGGATGCGGCTGAGCAGCCAGTTGCCTGCAAACTCGTGAAAGGATGAGTACACTTTCTGCTGACTAAGGATAAAGAAGTGAGCCTGACCGTAGAAAGCAAGTGACCAGCAAAGCTAGAAAGCAACTCAGGTCAAGTTGCCCCAGTCAGAGCAAAGGCCCAGCCACTGAGCAGATGGTGCCAGGCCAAGAATACCAATTCCACCTCTCCTTTACCTCAGGCTGGGGTCTCTTCCTACTGCAGCCTTTGGGAAGCAGCCCAGAAAACAGAAATTAAGAGCTTGCTGAGTACCAGCTGCTGCAGCTGAAGAGACACTCACCACTGGCAAAGCAGGCCTGGGCTGGGTGTGATTCCTCCTCTTTGGCCACAGTTGCTACTGTAGCAGAGCATGTCAGATTCTATTGGCCCTTCCAGAGGCCAGATGGAGAGGGATATTAGCTCCTAAAATACTTAGAGTTGCTCGGAATCGAGCTCAGTCAGAGGAGCCCTGGGGAGCAGTGCACTCCTCAACCAGGAAGACAGAAACTAAAAGCCTTTGTTCGTGTCCCTGCAGTCAGGGCTTAGCAGGTAAGAGGCTCCCAAGTGACCCACTGAACATGGGAGAATCAGATCATTCCCCCCTAAGATCACAGCCAGTGAGAACCAACTGAAGATGGAGAGGACTCATCAACAATAAAAGACTCCAGAACGTTGTGGGAAGACCTGAATTGGAAGTCAGGGGATCTGGCTTTGAGACTAGCCTTACCACCTATTAGTTGTAAGACCCTGAGAAATCAGTGTCTTCATCTAAAAAATGAGGCCACTGCCTATCAAACCTAGGGACTGGGGAACAAGAACATGCATCTACACACAAATGCTTTCAAAACAGATGCCAAGTGCTATTCCAATTCAAGAGATTATTTATATCCAGCTACCTACTTGACATCTGTTGGATGTCTCAAAGGCACATCCATTCAGATGCCCCCACCTACTCTTCCTCCCCCACTCTCAGGCCTCTCCTAGGGAAGCCCAGATCAGGGCTTGTCAGGACCAACCATACAGACAAGGAAGCCAGAAACCTAGGACTCATTCTTGGCATCCCCGTCATATTAACTCACTACCAAGCCCAACTCACTCTACCTCCTAAAGGCTTCTACCACCTTCTATCACCACCATCCTAGTCCAACATGTCATCCTCTTGCAGTCTCCAACAAGCCTGTGCCCATCCAGGCCCTCTCCGCAGAGCAAACATAACCATGTCTCCCCTCCCACCACCCCTGCCCTGCTTGCTAAATATGCTACAACAGTATCCCAAGGCCTCCAACAAGGAAACCTCTTTCCCGGGGGCTTATGAGGCCCTGCAGGGTTGGGCCCTGCTCCTTCCTCTTCCAGCCTCCCCCTCACCATGCTCACTCTGCTCTCTCTGCTCCAGCCACACCGGCTTTTCCTTTGGTCCCTGGTAGTTACCCCATTCCCTCCTACCACAGGGTTTATGCACATGCTCTTCCCTCTCCTCTCACCCAGCTTATGCCTATTCATTTATTTTTACTAAGGAATAAAGTACAGAAAGTGCATTAAAGTAAGTATATAGCTTCATAATTACAGATGTACACATTCATGTAACTCCCACCCAGCTCCCGGTCTGGAGCAATTCAGCACCCATAGGGTTCCTCCTGCTCCTTTTCAGTCTACACTCCCCACTCCCAGGTAACCACTGTTTGGACTTCTAAGACAACACCTGTTCATGCTTCAGAATGAGGCTTATGCAACTCTCTCTCAGGAAGCTGCCTGAAAAAGTCTAATCCCTCTCACAGGCATTTGCTACACTGAAGGATCTGCATTTAAGTATTGTGATCTGTGTCGATTTCCCCTAAGATTCTGCGTGCTCCACAAGAGTAAGGGCCGTACCTGCTTATACTCACCTGTTTCCCAGTGCTTGCACATGCTCAGTAATAGCAGAAAATAGCTAATACCTGTCCAGTGCTTATTATTGCCAGGCACATACAGGCACTAACCCATTTAACTCTCCCATCAGCCCTGTCAAGCAGGTACCATTATTATGTCCCCACTTTACAGGTAAGGAAACTGAGGGACAGAGGAGTTAGATAACTTGCCCAAAGTCACTAAGTGTTAAGTGGTGGAGTCAGGATAAAAAACCCAGGCAGTCTGGCTACAAAGCATGAGTTCTTAATCATTATGCAACTCTGCTTCTCAGAGGCCACTGGAATATCTACTGAATTAGTGCCCAAGATATTTTGAATGAATAAATGAACTCATAAATGAGTTCATGAGGTTGCATCAAAGGAACCAAGAGAGACCTCAAACCTCCCCAGAGAGACTGATAAATAAATGGGAGATAAACTGTCACTGAATCAAAATGACAAGACCTGCAAAAAACAAGGTCTAGTCTGTTTTCCCAACAATCAAGGAAGGAAGCTTTATGCTGCGGGCACGGAGGAGCGCTTTGGTCCCAAGCAGAGGGTACTCCCGGTAGAGAAAGGATTACTGTCTGGGTCCAGTCAAGAGCCTAAAGGCAACATCCCACTAGATTAAAGTCACTCTGCTCTTTTTCACGATAACCCAGTAATCTTCGTAACCATTTGATATCTCAAGCCCTCTGGCCCAGGAAGAGGATACTTT